TTCTTCTTCTTGCCGACAACCAAACATGGTAAATGACTAAAACTCCTCAAAGAATACGCGTAAGCTATTGAATGGAAAACAAAGCAGAGGAAAACGTAAGTACTGCAACAAAAGCTGGACGATGGCAGTGAGTAGAGAATCACTTTCAGACAAGATAGAAATTAATGCATCCTTCAAAGCTCTTCTCTTTTCCTTCTTCTGGAATGATTTCACTGCATGCAGCTTCAGAAACTCGATAAGCTCTTTTCTTCACGATTTCCTCCGTATTTGATTGGAGCCGACTGAAACACCCTACCTTCAATGAAAACTGAGCATAAAACTAGATATGGAGCTTACCTTTCTCCCGCTGGGAACAAAAAAGATGCTAGGAAACGATTTAATAGCAAATTTGTAAGGAATCTCGTTAAGGGTTCCATCGTATTTGGTAAATATGAGATTCGGCTGCGTTTTTTTGAACTTAGTCGCCAGCGCTTTATACTTCGGTTCAAATTCCTGAAACAATAAGAATCCTGGGTTTTTCTAGGCACTAGGCCATACGACAAGGCACTAGTCGAATACCTCGCAAAGATCACACATTGGAGAGTAAAGTTCGACGACCACGTCTTTGCTCTCATCACCGACTACCTGAATTGGAACTGTTTAGCTTCCAGGAGCGATCCAAGAGGTAGAAGGGTAGAAGTACTGCAAGGAGAATTCTGTAGCTTTCTAACCTCATCAAAGTTCAATGCTACCACTGTTCGCACAGGACCCTTATCATCGCGTGGCACTGGCGCCGACCTTACAAATGGTTTCACTTCTCCTGAAGAAAAAAACACCATAAACAGTTCTTAGATGAAAACCCCGAAGTCTCACCGGCAATTACTTTCTTCATAAATCCTTCCAAATTCTTTTCGAGATCACCATCAAACTCCTTAGAATCCATGGGGTACTTCTTGCCATCGCTTCCAAACAGGACAACGTTGTGCTCAAGTCCAGAATCACCTTGGAATACATGGTTGTATCCGGAACACATCTTTCATTTGATTACTTTGCATTCATTTTTGATATACCCACATTAAAGACTGATTGTGAGGAGGCATGTAGCGTTGCGTGCCAAACGCAGGGTCAACCATGCGTTCTCCCAAGGTCTAATAGATGGTCTAATAGACCAGCGGGGTTAGCGCAGGACCACGGCAGAATTATTAAGTACAAAAACATAGAAATGAAAAGCGGATTTTCAAAATTCCACTGACAGTTCGAACCGCAACTGGGTGTATAAGTTCTTCCCAGAGCAGCGCCTCCATGTCGTTGGAGTGGAGGTGGTCGATGGGGAAATTCAAGGGAGTGAATCTCATTCACAGTACGTCGGACTAGGCTGAAGGAGGGGAAGGAATTTTGGGAGAGCAAGTCATCCTTGTTCTCGGGCGTTCCTCTCCCTTTCCTGTTTGCTCAGTCCCAGGGCCTACCTCCATTGGCTATTTGAATGTGCCTGTTTTGAATGTTCGCTCCCTCTTCAAGACATCGGTTCAGCCCCCTAGAGCACGGTTGTGACTGCCCAACGAGATCTGCTAGTCAGGGGCGTGGTGTTCTTCATCAGACAAAACCGAGCAAATTCGACGAACCATGAGAACGGCCTGAACAAGGCCGAAAGCAGCCACAACGTAACCGAAATAAACGTTACCAATTTGGATACGCACGCAACTGCGCGCATCACATGTGAGATAAGTGAGAATGGAGACCCTGCAAATATCATACTAATATATAAACCAGAGTTTGTTTGTCTGACCGCTCCCCAAAAATTCGCAAGTGTCCCCCACATGTTTATAATTCTTCCTTCAAAAATCACCTAGGGAGGGCGGGTCAAGTTTGGAATGGGTAGAGTATGAGTCGCTCTCTAAGGGAATATATTGGCCATAAGAAACTCCGCCTCCAGTGGGCGGGGCGTGCGTCGAAATTAAAAAATTTGGTGAAAAATTGCAGTTTTTGGCTTCAGAACAGTCTAAAGACAGGGAAAAATAAGGCCTTAATAGGGTACTTACCGCTCTATAACGGGAATATATTGGCCATGCTAAACTCCACCCCCAGTGGGCGGGGCGTGCGTCAAAAATCGAAATTTCGTTGAAAAAATTGAAATTTTTGCTCTCTGGACATCCCAAAGGTCATGAAAAATAGGGCCTAAATAGGGCACACACCGCTCTATAAAATGAATGTATTGGCCATAAGAAACTCCGCCTCCAGTGGGCGGGGCGTGCGCTTGAAGTGAAATTTTTCCGTGAAAAAAAGTAGGCGTTTTTCGTCCAAAAACATCCAGCGAAACATCGAAGAAATTGGGTTGAAATAGACGGCATATCACCGCCTCTCATTTTATATATAACTAAAATACTGAATCAGGGTTGTTGTCTGACGCGCTGCTCCTAAATATTCGCAATTTAAGTGTCGCCCCCACATGTTTTCTGCTGTGCTACACCCTCTCTCTCCTATCTGACGTTACTGACCCCAATGAGTACGAACCCCAGACCCACCCTGACAAGTACGACCCCTCCTGTCGAGGATTTCCTCGACCGATATTCACCCTGCTCTTCAAAAGTCCAGTCCCAGTCTTACCTAGGTACCCTTACCTAACCCGTATCTAAACCTAACTAACCAGGGAATGGGCCCCCAAACCCAACGTTACCTTGTTGTCATCAGTGCACATCACTAAATTTCTCGTCGCCCAGAACGCCCTTATTGATGGGAGGGTTTACGGGCAGAATATTCTCAAGTGTCTTGCCGACCATAAGCAAAAAACAGCCTCGTTCACTGCCTACGTGTTCAGCCACCGTGATCGGCTCCCCGCCCTGTGCTGCTCCCATAGTTTTCATCGCTTCATATGAAGAAGATTATAAGTTCAGGAACATAGGGCGGTATACCGTTGCATTCGCACATCGCACGCACTCTAGCTTTAGGCCGATGTCAGACTTTGCGAATCGCGCGATTCGCTAGCGTCCGCGGTCGCGTTGCGGTACCAGCCAATTGAGTGATTCACTGGCCGCGACGCGACCGCAGACGCTAGCGAATCGCGCGATTCGCAAAGTCTGACATCGGCCTTAGCGTTGAGCGCTGGAAGCTTGCGACTGCACCTTGACGTCATCGTGGGTTACGGTATACCATCATGTTTTCCTGAACTTATAAGATTGTGTTGGCGGACAGCAAAATTTGTGCAAAACACAAGAGGTCCGTGTCTAAATAAGGGGTACACCGTGCAAACCAAGTCAATTGCTGGCTGTTATTGTTTTTTAGTCCAATAAGGAGGGGTAGGGGCATGCGGTGCAATAGCCGAGTACCCGACAGGAAAATCGCAGCGTGGCGATAAGGCAGAGACGCAGACGTGTCAGCGGACGAGTTGCAGCGCGTGCTGTGTGATGGAAACGTGTTATGGTACATTCTATTTGACTTGACGCGAAATCACTGCAGTACGCGCTGCGACTCGTCCGCTGATCCGTCTACGTCTTTGCCTTCTCGCCGCGCGAGGCCTTCCTGTCGGGTACCCGCGACAGTCGCTGCCGCCTACAGGAATCCCATTTTTAGCAAGAGGAGGACGTACTTGGGCTACCCGAACCACTTCGCTTTCACTTTAACATTCACCTCGAGGTTTCGTTCTCCTTCGAAAAATCATTTTACGTTCTATGAACTGTCGCACAATACCCCACCTCCTTACTGTATAAGACCTTTTTTCTTTTTGTGATAACGTCTTATTGTATACGAGTATTTGTATGGTTGTTATGAAGCTTTTCATCCAAATGTCTTGTTTTCTGAGTGTTTTTTTTTACTTTGTTATTTATTCTACGCGCATTCCATGTGTCCAATCGACATTGATACAGTGCCAGATAATAAAAAACACGAGTGGACACAAGGAACGAATGAGGGGGAGAGGGGGTGTGGGCGAGCGCGGATTCACATCCACTTGCTCGGACTTGCCAGATTTGCCTCATTAGACCCTGCCCCCTTTTTCACCCAATTCTTTACGCACTTAAGCGGCAACAACGACACATCTGCAATCCTCGTGGACAGATATATCCTCCTAGGCCGTGTGGTCTTTTGAGAACCCGTCATCCCGCTTGATTACGTATGATGCGGCATCAAAAGGAGTAGAGACGCGAAGCTTTGGGGACCTCCCGGCCGATTTCTGCTGCACATGGCCACTGTGCTCATCGTGGATTATCGCTCTAACATTTGAGAAGACTAGATCGAGAAATCGTGCAGCGAGGAGATCGGAACATTTAGCCCAAAAAATCTATTATTATCCATTGTAGAAGGAGAGATAAGAGGATATTTCTGTTGTAATCTGTTCTCCCCCTCCGCAAAAATGATGAACCCTAGTCGCTGATCTTGTTTT